TGCTCTGTGAGGGTCCATGGAAATGGGTACAAATGTGTTTGTGGTCTGTTAAATGTTTTCTTACTGGTCTAATTAAGTGGTTCCAAACTGTGGTACGCAGAGAGTACGTCGAATTACACGAAGTGCGTCAAAAATTCTGACATTATTCATTTAATTTTATTTAATCAGCCGGCTGCACACTAACTAAGGTATTTTTCCGATGCTGGCTACACAATCAGCTACTAGCACAGGGCAAACACACCCACACATGCCGCTTATTCTTCTGGATAACGGGGACAGGGCAAACTCGAGCTCTAATAATTCTGTATTTTACGCTTTTATTCTAACCTGCTGTATTGCGAGAAGAAAGAGTTTCTCTCTGGACCCTTCTGAGTGTCGCGCTTTCAGGAGAGACTAACAGCGGTAGAGTTAATTAAGTTTATGCGCTGCTGTGTGCGTGAATGAAGTGATTATCCTTTGCTAACTGGCATTAAGCTCTGTTTGTTAATCGAGTACTCGAATTAGTTTCACTTCCGCAGATACTGTTTAGATCGCCGTTGTAGTGAATTATTAGTTCGTCGCTTCTGTGTTTATTGCTTAGCCGTTTACATTTAAGTGTTTGTAGCGCTGTTAATCCAGAGAATGTGTACAGTGCGCTCCTGAGTGAGTCCAAAATGAATGGGTTAATATCGGAGCATTTGAGATAAATCATAGTTTGTAAATGCTTAAATATTTACATAAAATAATGCACTTATTTCCTGAACACAGAACAGCATAAAACATTTGAACACTGCTGTTTTATTTTTGAGCGCCTTTAGGACTTTTAACGTAGCCTCATGTGATTCATGACGTCAGTGGCAGTAATACTAATAGACTACTGTAGTCGTGCGTCATTCTGTTGTCCTCGTTATGCCCATATTAGGAACTCCGGGTCTGAGCTCCATTTCTCTATGGGCAAAATGAATAGGGTTTTCAATAAATCGCCTCTATCGCCCCCTGTGTTAAATAATAATCTTCAGAACACGATACGTTTTGTCCTGTGTACATTTTTCTCCCGAATACCACTGGATCCTCCGAATTACAAGATCGTTAAAGAGCTATAATACTAATATTGCTACATGCGAGCTAAAGCTACTGCGCATCAATTTGATGTCACTAAGCTACACGAAACTAAGGCAGGCTGTGCCGGTGCTCTGACAAGCTGTGTTACCTTAACAAAATGTTCTACTGTCGCGCAAATTACAGGTATACCCGTAAATAAAACCTCTGGGTGGGATATTTTGGTAGACTAAAACTCCTTATCAAAAATACTACCCGTGTTAGAACTACGAGGCTGAATTTAGCTTATTTTTTCACAGCTTCTTCTTTGAATGTCCCTGTTCCACCTTAAATTGTGCGGCAGCTGTGACTAGCTATCACAACCATTAGCAAGCAAGACAAAATACTGACCTGTTAGTTCGGTGAAACAGCAAAAATAAGTTAATGTTACTCTGCTGTTAAGCGTTAATAGTAGTGATGGCCAGATGAAGCCTCATGAAGCCTTGAAGCATTCCATCCAGCTGGTTCAAAAAAAGGTTCATTTCTTGAAGCTTCATGTGCACACAACCCCCCCTGCTGGTTAAAACCTTTATTGTCATTTCAACTATTTGTGATGGTCTCTTGGCTGTCTTGCAACATTGTCAGCATGGGAATAATCACTGCCAAGAATAAAACACCTTAATTTGATTTTCTGTGGTTCATTCATTTGTTCATCTAGTCTGTTTTTGATTAATGTGTGGGTTATGGTAATAGAGGTCAAAAAACTTTCCAGTATGATTTCAGTCAATAAATAAATCCAATAGGACATGAGATGTTTATGTTAAAACTGTTGCAGTGCTTTCAAGAGATGAGACAGTGATTGTGGGGTGATGGTAACTTTATTAATTTTTATTAAGAAACAATATTTTTTCCACTGTGCTTGGACTCAGTCGGTTTCTCTTTTTGGAAATAACCTCTCCGGCTTTGGAGAAAACCCTTTCACATGGTACTGAGGAGGCAGGGGTGCACAAGTATCCCACAGCAAGCTTGTATAGGCTTGGATATTTGCACCTCTGCCTCTCCCAGTACCCAAGGGGATCCTCTGTTCTGCCGATGTTCTGTTCTGCCAGGTATCTCTGCACTTCAACGGTGGCATCAGCTGTGACACTGAATTCTTCTGGACTCAGTGACCATGGTATCTAAATGAAACCACAGTTTGTTTCCTGAGAAGCAAAAACTGATAATATAAATGAGGACATAATTCCAAAATTGACTTTAAACCAAAGCAAAAATACTGACCAGGTCTTTCAGCTACGGCATCCTGTGATGTTGAAGCTGCAGCTGGAGATGAATGTGAGATTACATTGGTACATTCAAAGGTGAGTCGTTTTATTGCTTCATCTGTCTTTGTAGGGTTAAAGAAGCCAAGTGATTTGTATCTTGGGTCTAGTAGTGTTGCCAGCGACATAATGCTCATGCTTTGGACTTTGTCAAGCTTTGTCAAGCTTTTCCCTAAGGAGCCTGATGAGATGCTCTCCCAGTTCCCTAGCTACTGGGATCGTTGCCTTTGCTGACTCTTCCTGGAGCATCTTTTCAACTATTTTCAATAATGGCACCACTTTGGAGCCAGATACCTTTTTCTCCTCTGACAGCTCCATAGTAGCCTCGTGAAAAGGAGACAGTATAGACAGGCACCCACAAATATTATTGTAGTCATCAGAGGTCAGCGCAGGAATGTCAGTTTGTAAGCCAGCCAAAGCTGCCCCCACAGGCTCCCTGAGTTCTGCTACTAGCTCCAGCATTTGAAATGTGCTGTTCCACCTTGTTTCAACCTCCTGAATCAGTTTTTTTTTGGTTTTCCCATCTGCTCTTGAACAAGGTCCAGCTTCTCCTTTAAAGATAAAAAAGTGAATGTTACATATGTAGCAATATAAAACAATGTGTAAACAAATATGAAAATGTTACTGACTTTGGCAGTTGTGCTGCTCCTAAAATAGCCCACCAGCTTCCTTGCCTTTGTACGAATGGTGGACAGCACTGGGGTTAGTTCAAGAGCCTTTTTAACGACTAGATTCAGGGTGTGAGCAATGCAGACTGCATGGCGCAGCCACAGGCAATCATATTAGATGCACCATCAGTAACAAGACATGTGACTTTTGATTTTATTCCCCATTCTTCCATGAGGGAGGATTTCACACAGGCCAAATTTTCAGCTGTGTGTGCCTGTGGGAATTTCACTACACTAAGTAGTGTAGACTTCAGACATGTGTTGTGATCTATAAAATGGCAGGTTACAGCCAAGTAGGCATCCATATTGAGAGATGTCCACATGTTTGCTGTCAAACTCACTGCAGGGACTTTCTGGACCTCAGCTTTCGCCTTCTCTTTCTCTTGTTGATATTTGGCCTCAGCCATGGCTTTTACAGCCTAAAGGGAAGGTAGAAAATAATGATTATTTATTTCAGTACTTTATCCATGTCATCACACATACCTTCCTAGTTGGGAGAACATAGGTTGGATCCAATTTAGCTACAAAGTCCCTGAAGCCTTTATCCTCAACTATGCTGAATGGCTGTGTGTCTTTAACAATCATGGAGACCAAAGCCTCATCCAGCTCCTCCTTTCTGGTCACTGCCTTGTAAAGATTAGATTAGATTAAACTTTATTGTCATTGAAAAGTACAGTACTCACCAATGAAATTCACGTAAGCGTCCAATCCGAATAGCAAATAGCATGTAAGGTACAGAGGATAATGCAATATATAAATATGTATGTACAGTATATACACATTTTACATGTGCATAATAATGTTAACTGTGCAAAAGTAAAATTAGGTTATTGTTTAATTACAGTATTTGCATGTCTTAAGTAATTACATGAACATGTGCACACGTGCAATGGTTGTTTTTGTTTTTATTTTGTGATGTGTATGATGAATATAGTATTAGTATTGTCAATGTCATTATTATCTTACCAGGCTCCATGAAAACAGGTTCCTCTATGTCACAGGCAAATTGGCGAAACTCCAACACGAACACTAACACGCAAATTTTGCGGGGATCCATTGCGCTTTATACATGTTCATAAATCACGCCAAGACTCGAACCACTGCCTGAACCAGCGAGGCTTCAGACGTCATCAGTGACGTCCCTCGCCCTTAAGGAAACAAGCCTCGATACGCGCTTCATAAACGACTTCTTGGATTTCTCGACACAAGCTCCGAAGCCTCGGTATCATTTGCCCATCACTAGTTAATAGTGAAACCTCCCCATATCATGCCTTTCAATCTTCCATGAAGCTGAAGTCAGCTTCTTTTTTGCTGGCTGTTTGTTCGAATTTCTCCGTTCCACCTTAAATGGCTCAGCATTTCAGAACGTAACTGCTGCACCACTTAAGGTGGAACGGAAAAGAACGGGAAAAGTCGAACAAAAAGCTGGCGAATGTCCTGAGAAGATGTTCTCAGAAAAATGTTACCAGCATTAAAATAATAATTAGGATATTCTGATAGCCTAAATCAGTTTATCAGGGGGTGATAACCTGCTTGAGAAGGCTGTCAGTCTAATGACGTGAATTCAGTGCGCAGTAGCTTTAGCTTACATTTAGCAATATCCATATTTCAGCACTTTAACGATCTCGTAATTCAGAGGATCCAGTGGTATTCGAGAGGAGAATGTTCACAGGACAAAATGTATCGGGTTCTGGCGCCCTCTGGTGTTTAGTAGTCATGTTCTGATGTAACGGGAGAAATAGTAAGTGGCCAGCTCTGACAGGAACTCCAGAGTTCTCCAGACTTACGCCTAGAATACAAACATGGTACACAAACATCCCTAACATTATTTATTTATTGAATATTATTCATGTTAAGGTTAACATAAAAAATTCTCTGTTGTACACTGTCAGAAAAAAGAAAAAAAGAAATTGGTGGACAAAAGTGTAAGATACAAACAATGTTAATATACTCTCAGTAATTGTCTTAAGGCTTAACTGTGTACCTTAAATGAGTTTTAAAGATACACTACGTTCACTTCCCAGTGGAAAAGGACCAATTTGTATTGTTTTATAATCTAATGTTTTAAAATGATAAAAAAAAAGCCTGGAGTCAAGATGAATTATATGGAATCAATGTCACCTTAAAAATATATAATAAAATATAAATATATAAAGACGTACACTTGAAGGTACCACCCTAGTGGCAGTTTTAGTATCTTTTTTTCTGAAAGTGTACATCTGGTGTGTCATCGCATCACATACACATACACACACAATATATATATACATACCTACACATACACATACACAATAACACCGCCTTTGGTGATAAGACTGATTGAAATATACACTAAATTAAATTAAGTTTATGTTTCCCTTTTTCCTCTTGAGCCCCCGCCACCCCTCGTCACCCCCTCCCAAAAAATATGTCTGTGCACAGGTCTGGATAAGACACTAACATGTGCAGCAGAGGAAACTCTAAGACCAGGGTTGGAAATCACTGTGATGAATGACAGCGCAGCCCTTCTAGCTGTCAAAACCACCCCATGCAACTGACTGTCATCTACTTTTGTGGTATGTCTGATACCAGTTGTCCTTTTAACAGGAAACCAGACAAGAACAGAAACCTGATTACAACACCATTTAGATTTAGGTCAAAATAACACAACAAAACGCCTCTGGTCCTCACCGTGGAAGTCCTTGCTTAAGCGCAACACCTCGAGTGAAAAAAATAGGCAAGGCAAAGATGATCGCCAAACCCCAGAGTCTAATGAGGATGGGCACAAAAAAAAATATTATCTTTAATAAAGATACATTGGTGAGAAGTATAATGAAATGTTAAGCGTTTGTGCTGGCAGAGCACAAAATTACTTTAAACCTTCTCATTGTCTGTGTAGAGAACTCTTCACTTATGTCTTTTTTTCTTGGTGATCATGCTTTTTCTTGATGATCCCTAATGCAACAGCATACAGAAAAGGGTTCACGCAACAGTTAATTACCGCCAGAGTCTTACTCAAGTCTCCAGTTGCTCTACGGAAAGATTTCAGTCCCTCATAGACGGCTGGAAAAGATGCTTTAGTCAGGGTAGTAGCTACGTCGATCACATTGATGATGTGCACAGGGGTCCAGAAAAGAAAAAAAGCCATGACGATGCTGATCACGAGCCTTCTCATCCTCCTCTTTCGCTTTCTAGCGTTTTCACCTCCTCGAAGCTTTATCTTGTTGATCCAGCAGTAAGATGTCAGTATGATGGAGAAAGGGAGGATGAATCCAAATATGACCTCGAACAGAAGAATTATAGCTTTTCCAGAAACTGAGTCTATGGTCCTCTGACACCGTGGAAGTCCTCGCTTAAGCGCAACACCTCGAGTGAAAAAAATAGGCAAGGCAAAGATGATCGCCAAACCCCAGAGTCCAATTAGCAGTAAGCATCTGCGACCCTTCTGCAGTCTTTCCAGTTCTTTCTGATTAGGAGTTTTTGACTTGATGGTATGGTAGTGGTGCACAGCCATCAGAGTGATCGTCAGCACGCTGACGTACATTGCACAGTAGGTCAGGTACATCAGGATCCTGCAAGGCCAAATGCCCAGAGTCCATCCACAGAGTAGACCATACATTGCAAAAGGAGCCAATCCAAGGGTCAAGGCATCAGATACAGCCAGATTGAGCATTAGCTTAACTGTGAAGCTTATTTTTTCATTCCATTGATGAGCGATGGAGACGATCACAGCAATGTTGCTGGGCAAACCCACCAAACAGCACAAGCCTAGGACCACAGAGGGGCCTACCTGTTTGGAGCCCCAAGTGCTGTTGGTGATGTCAAGACCACAAGTGGAATTGAAGCTAAAGTTGAGATGATCCATGTCAAGCAAAAGAAGTTGAGAAAATGTGTCACTTGGTTGTAGGGTGATGTCCAAACCAGACGTGCTGCTCTCTCCAAAGCTGTGATGCTTCTGAGCAAATTCTGGCTGGTGTATTGCTGGTAAAGCAGCTGCTGACATAGACTCCTCTCATCATTTCCTGAACTCACTTTATAAACCACTTCTCTCAGACTAGAAACAGAGAGAGAGAAGTGGCTAAAAAGCTGAACTAGGTATCTGGATCCTTCCCTAATAAACTGTTTGAAGTTCTGACTTGGCTTTGATATTTGTGTTGATCTATGCATTTTCCCCCTTTTGTTAAATATTGTTAAATGTGTTTTCCACAGAAATTACAATTTTAAAAATGACAGACGTGATTGTGCCTTTGCAATTGTGCTACACACTGCATGGCATTATTTTACTTGAGTTTTTTTTTAATATCAAAATATCTACTTTCTACTCTCTAAATCTCGAAACAGTTTCATTACTCTGTCATCTACATGTTTTTGGAGATCATCAGACACCTTCCAGCTGTTCATTCAGCAGCAAATTTCCAACAAAGCTACATTCTAAAAAATGTGACAACAAGAACAGAGAGGTGAATAAGCTCTTAATATATTTATTTACAAATTTCTCTCTAACTTGGCTAACATTTTACCGAAGAAACGTGTATATTTACATGCAGTCTTTTATTCCAAAAAGGAGGGCAAGGGACAGAAGAAGTAACAGGGTAAATGAGAGATAGAATATGGAATTTCAAAGTATAGTGATGATGTTCTTCAACTGAGGAAGGAGTAATTGTGCTGCAGGACTTTGCCCATCCTTTACCTAATTACAGAGAATATCCTGTTTTAATAAGGACATAAGAAATGCACTTTCAGGGGACTACTTTTACTTTTATAATAACTTTTAAGAATTTTACTTCAGTAAGGAATTTTACCATCTCTGATGTAAATATCTGTTATTTATAACAGTATTGACATATTTGTCTCAAGTGGTGTGTGTTTCTAAAAATTACATGACTCACAAAAACAAACAAACAAATAGAACATAATTTTTGATTCATTATTGAAAACAGTGGTTCCAAACTTGATGAAGTACATGGTAAAACTCCCCTGTTGTAATTTTTATTTCATTCTCACCATTTCTCGCTGTTATTTGTTGACAGTTTTCTTCATGTAATTTGCCTGTTAATATATTTAATAAAAATTCTGCTTATCATTTGTATGAAGTTACAAGATTCTCATTTTTTTGCACTCGTCACCTGCTCCACTGATGCTTCCACAGTCTCCCCTAGCAGGAGTCCAGTACAACACTGATGATAAGCTTATCACTCGTGAACATGTCCACTACTGAAGAGATTGTGCAGTTCAGTCATCCATCAAAAACTTTAATAATGCTGAGATTAATAACTGGCTCATCAAATTGATTTGTCAGTCTACTCACACTGTAGCGGGAATGTCAACGTTTACAAAGAAGCTGTTTGTCAAATTCCTTTTATTATTGTGTGTGTGTGTGTGTGTGTGTGTGTGTGTAATATTCTTCTTCTTCTTATTATTATTAGTAGTAGTAGTAGTAGTAGTATGAAGTCTTTTATTTTGAACTCGAACTTTTATTTTGTTTTCCGCTGGCCGCCGGGGAAAGCTCCGTAGAGTCGCTGTGTTCACAAAGCTGTTTCTTTCTCCCGAGAGCGGCCCCGCTCCACGCTTGGTTTCTTTCTTTTAATCGCAACAAAACAGCTGAGAGGGTTTTAAAAAGTGCACATTTCAACCACTAAGCTATGTCAGTCGTTCCTCCGAATCGCTCGTCCACCGGTTGGCCGCGCGGAGTGAATCAGTTCGGGAACAAATACATCAGCCCTCCGGCTAAACCGCTCACCCTGGAGAGAACCATCAACCTGTGAGGAGCTTCTGAACCCATAAAGCTCAGATCGATAACTGTTACTGCACCACCGAATGTAGTTTACAGTTATGCAGTATAATAGCCAGTGCATGTCAGTGCCCGCTGCGTGGCTTCTGTTTTAAATGCCGGATGTGTCGAGCTAGCATTAGCATAGCAAATCGTAGCCTGTTAGCATAAGAGGCTGCTGAGCTAACGAGGTCTGTGTTGCTTTGGAGGTTTTTAATGCATGCCGTTGTCTTTGCTCCGTGTAGATATCCTCTGACCAATTACACGTTCGGCACGAAGGAGCCGCTGTATGAGAAGGACAGCTCGGTGGCCGCCAGGTTCCAGCGGATGCGGGAGGAGTTTGAGAAGATCGGGATGAGGCGGACTGTGGAGGGAGTGTTGATAGTACACGAACACAGACTGCCCCATGTCTTACTGCTGCAGCTAGGAACCACCTTCTTCAAACTGTACATACTCTCTATACTAAATACTCATAAATATTCAGTGTTGGGCAAGCTACTTTAAAAAATATCCAGCTAAGCTGCCAGTTACTCTCCAAAAAATTCAGTTCGGCTCATATACATGAAAGCTGTTCTTCAGAGAAATGCAGATAAGCTTACTGTAATGAAGCTACATCACGACTTATACTGTCTCTGAAGCTAATTAACATTGTAATGATCTGTTAGTTCTAGGTAATAATATTAGTATAAGCCGATAATTGCTTTAAAAATGATCAGCATCTGAAATTAAGTGATATTTCGAACTGATAGTTCATATGGATATTTGATGACTTACCTGCTGTACTCCAGAAGAGTAGAACATTTAGGTGATGCTAGACTACTGTGCTAAAAATGTGTTTTTATTAATTTTACTAATAAAAATAAATGTTATATTTCTCTCTAATGCTCATCCAGATAGATTTTGTCACAATTTCTGTATTTTATTTTTAGATCAGCATTGGCAGATGTGTTCACAAAAAAATATCAGAGATTTGCAACAGCTCAAAATTCTCATTCTGGTTAATTACAAGACAGTTCAGCAACTTATTATATTAATATTGAATTAATGTTATTAAATATGATTAAATATAATCAACCATTTACCCACCCTGCTGTAGGGGAACAGTGCTGCTCTTTTATTTCTGTCTCACCTACACAGATCACTATTTGATGAAGCTACTTAGGTTTTCACTGAGATGTGTACGCATTATAGCCACCGTCTTTCTTCCTTCAAGCTCTGTTAGGCTTTTGAAAGATCACAGTGTTATGTATGTAACTTTCAGAGGCATCCTGGAGACCTTTTTGCTACTCTTCTAAAATTTTGGCATCCATTGCTCCAAAGATTACTAAGTATTTCACAGTAAATTGCCTACCTTCGCCACTGAAAACACCACAGCTGATGTGGCAGCCTCGAAAGTTTGTGAGACTTAGCAACAGTAACCAAGGGAGCGTGACTAAGCGAAGGTTCAGTTACAACTAAACTGTGCTGAATAAAGACTTGTGTCACTGCCCCCTTGATACTGGGAAATATACTTAACCCCTTAAAATCCCAGGCTTATCACATACTCAGGCGTATTTTTCAGTAACTGCATGGGCTACAATGCAAACTGGTTGAGCTATTCATAGGTTACAGAAGTGTGTAGTAAAAGGTTGAACCTGTCAGTGGGTCCTGACCATTTAAAGGATTAAACAAGTAGCTTTGCTACTTCTAGCCATACTACTGCCCAGTACTGTCTGTAAAAGAGTTTGAGAGTTGATGGTGATAATATCTTCAAAGTTCTTTCTAAACCTTTTCTAAAGTGCTTCACTGTTATTGTATCTGTTTTCAGCCCTGGTGGAGAATTAAACCCTGGAGAAGATGAGGTGGAGGGTTTAAAACGCCTGATGACAGAGGTATTGCTCTTGTTCTTGATGTTGTTGTTGTTGTTTTCTCTTTGGTAACTAATATGGTGTTAATAAGTATGTTGTTTACAAAACATTACAAAAAAAAGATGTAATGGTTTATGCAGATTTGTGAATGAGCTGTAAAGGGTAAGCAGAACAAATAGAGTAGACAGTTGTGATAGTTTGTGAGTAAATATCTGGGTTTATTTTTATGGTTCTGCAACTGGAACCATCTCAAAAGTCTGTCTAATATTTACTGAGTTATAGAAGAATGCAGGCTATAGGTATGAGTTACATAGGATTATGAACCCCCCCAGTCCTGTTTATTATCGATGCTTTGCAGAAAATACAAATGAACTGTTGACCATGCAAATTAGTCTTTAACCACAACAAGCACATCATGGGTTCATTTTTTTTAAGTATTAAATGGCATTTCACCATTGCAATATGTAGACATGTCATGCAGTGAACCATTTTGTCAATATCATGCAGGTCTAACTGAAATAGAGATATGAATGTAATTTTCAGTTGCCAAGTATAGTCTATATTACTGTTGACGTGGTTGTAATCTTCTGAAATTGTTGCAGGCATGTCTTCTTAATTTAGACACCAGAGCAGACTTTCTTTGATGAGTTACGTGACTAAAGATGTACTTCATGTGACTAAAGATATACATGGACTTCAGAGGAACTACTTAGACAGCTCTAAGGTCTAAAACAGTGCAAAGTTTCAGCACTCTCAAACTCAAAGGAATACCTTAACTAAGTTGTGAACACTCCACCTGTTCTTGGGTGAACGCCTGAACCGTGGTCCACCAAATATCGCTGGTCTCAGTCTGCTTTGAAGTGAAGCTTGGTTTAGTTTGCTTCTGGTGGGAATGCACCAAACAAGAGAATTTAACATTAGAGCCTGTTTTTCTCTTTTTCTCTTAAAAAGAGTGTGCCAGTATTGTACTACTGTCTGCTTATTTATTTATTTATTTATTTATAAAATGCACTCTTCACAGATGTTCATACCTACTGCAACAAGAGCTGCTGCTAACCACAGACAATAAAATAAATAAGAGTATTGCATTTGATTTTTGAACACAGTGTATTTTTGGCCAAGCATCAGCAGATTTTTAGCTGACAAACTGGGTGTGAAAACAGCCTACAAAGTATTAATGATGGGCACTGGAAGTTGGTAAAAGGCATTTAGCATTAGGGCATTCTAATTTGCTTGCCCAAGCTCAGCTTTACATTAGCTATGTAAAGTTCAACTGTTCATTTAAAGTATTACATTAAGATTTTAAGCTTCACTGATAAAGG